CCCCCCCCCTCCCTCCGAAGCTCCGTCTGTTGCCTCCCTTCTCGTTGATTCACTTTCCCCCACCGTACGTGATCTTGCCTCCTACTACCACACAGCTGTTAGTACCTGCTGAACCGTGCCTCCGTATCACCTTCTGCTCCCGGAGAATCCGAATCGTCCACCCACACTTTTTCCCTTTCCCGGGGTTCACACTCTCGTTTCTAATTGCTATCGACTCCTCTTCCATCCATTCCTCCCTTTTTTGCTTGCTTTCTTCTCTTCCGGGTGAAAAGTGGTAGCATTTCGTTCAATTATATATTACAATATGAGCTGCTATTCTATCTTGACCCGAGATCACTAAAGTCAATACCGTGTGGCCTTATATCGTAACCACGAACGCCAACAGACTAAATCGTCACGTTGCTGTTATTGTTGTATAAGGGATGGCTCGCGCTAAGGTGATTAATATCCATTTGTTAGCAGCATCACCAGGTTGCTCAAAGTAAAGAGGAATAGAGTAGATCAAGACATGCGGTGCGACAAGGATTTTTCATATTTCTTATGTAGAGAAAAAAAACCAACTGTCGCAACAGTCAGTTTCTTCCTTTTTTACGATATTGCAAAATTTCTTGCAAAATGCTAAAAGACCATTCGTTACAATCGCAAGGGAAACGTATCCAATCGTGTCCTATTCTTTCCCCCGCTTCGTTCCGTCGTTGTAATCGCCGTTATCATTGTAATCACTGTCATTACCAGAAGCATCAGTTATGTAGCAATCGCAATCATTATCGCCGGCGACATTGTTGTTACTATCAATCCATTAACATCATCGGTACCGATTGCCCGTTACTACCCGTTGCGTCGTTAATATTATCGTTATAGGAATCGTCATCGCCGCGAGTGTCTCTGGTGAGTTAGCATACCAATGGATCACAGTTCCCATGAGGATCTTTGTTGTTCGACCGTCGGTCACGGTTACGAGGTCACGTTAGAGTCGTTCCGTCGCATCTGTCTCACGTGCACCAGCGTAGCGGCACAGTTTATAGGGAAATCCACTCCGTCCTTTAATTGCTTGTCATAACGAAAATTGTTCCCGTCCATTTGCCCTGTGATTAGCCTAAAGCATGCGTGCTCGTCGAAATTTATCCGCACCGAGTGTTCCATCGACTTTTTACTATCCGCCGCGGTATATAGGCGACGTTCTTTCGTGAATTGCATTTTTGAAAATATTTACACGATCTCGTGGCAGATCGCAGCTGACGGCCGGCGTGTTACGGAGATAAACGATTAAATTCAATTAATCAAATGTCCTACTCTTGGATTATCGCTTTCGCAATATTGCGGTGTTCTCTTAACAATAGAACGACCAAACTCGATTATTATAACTTGAACGGGGCGAAGTGTTTCAATGATTTTTTTTTATTACAAAATATAACTGCACAGATGCGTTATATAACCGCACAATGATTTCCACGTGACGTGATTATAAACTACGTGAGCTTTGATCGATGCTCTAAGCTTGTTTATTTCTTTGATATTTTTCGCGTTATTTTCATGCGTATTCTCTCATCTTATGAGGAGGAACGTACAGTAAGCTGATCGATAAGGACGACGAGTCATGATTTGAAAAGAAGCGCGAGAAGGCGAGAATATGGAGGGTAGAAATGTTACTCCTTCCGGAAATTGGGATTTCTACTCGTCTACACGTTGCTGCTCACAGCAAAGCGGCTACTAGAGTATCCGCACTTCGAAAACGTAAGGGAGTTAAAACGCGATCCAATTTCTCAGGCCATTGAGTGCGGCGACTGCCATCTGTCTAACGGGTGGCGTCGTGCTTTTTACAGGCGAACCGTGAAATGCGCAAACAGAAGGACCGTTCTTCCTTTACATTTAAATCAAATCATTTCTTTATTATGCGCTCTCCCATCTTAGAGGATCTCGCGGGGCTGAAGAGTTTAATCTTTTTCTCTCTCTCCCACTTCGTCCTTTTTTCAGATGCTCGTCGTTCTTTCTTTCAATCTTTGTTTCAATATTCTACGACCAGTCTTTTATGCTCCTTCCGAGCCTCCATTGTCACATGAGAAATAAATGAGCCGTGACGTTTAGACTGCTACCTATCGTTACTTCTTGTTCCGTCTCTTTCCCGACAAATATTAATCGAATTATTCGGGAAAATTGTATGCAATTCAGAGAGATATTTTTTTGTTATTATATCTGTAGTGGTCATAAGACCATATTAAGTGATTGTGTAAATTATAACGGCCCGAATATTAAAATGAAACTGGTTTAGTTTGATACGATCGAGCATACGATGCGGAATAAATGATGGTTCAGCTAAAAGAGAACGAAAGCGTCATCTTCCCTCCTTTCGTCTGTCGGATCAATTTGAATTGTTGCAACCCTTTCGCAGACAGGACACGCAACGAGCACGTACATTTTCCAATCAGTTAATGACCCCCTCGATCGTTTCCCCAGGAGAAAGCGCCAAAATGATCGTCTCATAGTTTCACTGTAATTGCGGGATAGGAAGTGCTTCGGAATGTCATTCGTTACGTAAAAAAAAAAGAAAGAAAGAACTGATGTACGGTAGTACGATTGTACGCGGACAAACGTGTCCTAGTGAAAAGATCAATTTACCGTCGCAAATATATTGGGTTGGAAGGAAGGTAATTTCGCGCGTTTATTCTCTAATATTAGCGCGTTACGGCTCATCTCTATCAATTTCGCACACGCTGACTGACCGGTACACCGGTCCGTTTTGTCGTCGTCCTCTCTCGCGCAGTTCTATATAAACCGGCGTTCTTAAAGGTGTGAGGAAGAGCGAGTCAAAGAGTGACCAGGAGGACGGTAGAAGGGGAAACAGGGGGTTGGCGAGAACGACGGCGGAGTTCAGAGAGGTAACAATCGGTCGAGGGGGTGAAGAGTTAGCACGCGCGCGCGGGAAGGGGTGGTATAAGGGGGTCGATCGTGCACGGGACTCAATTACACGCTCCAGTGCTCTCCGCGCCCGCCTTCCACCCCCTGCCATTCCCATCAGTATACTCCCACCCCCTGGCCTACTGCTCTTCCGGCAGCTCGCTCAACCCGCTCGGTCTCTCATAACCCCTCCCGGTCTTAGGCTCCTCTGGGGATCACTAAAAGGAGGACTCCGCGCGATTCGAAGCGGGAAATCAGCCAGACAACCCGATGGCAACCCGCTGCTCCTGTCGCGAGCTTCTCGTGCTGGCTGCTCCTACCAATCTTCGGGGGTGAACTCGGAGACCAACCCGCTTTACCCCGCTCACCTCGCCCCGTCCTATCCTCCCTCCTCTTCTCCTCCTTTTTCTCTCTGCTCACCGTCCGCATTGCCACCAATCCAGCGCGCGAC